CAAAAAATGAGGCTTTTAGAATAGGAACATAAGGGAGTGTCCAGGAGCATTGAGGTCCCAGTTGCAAGAGAGAGGGTAGTGTTGCGGTGTTGCCGTGTGCCAGGGCTGCTGCAGGCCAAGGTTGAGAACCGGCTTCAGAAGCAACACCCCTTGTCTTCGCATGGTGCAGGAGGCGCGTGCCCAGGATGAAGGCTTGTCTTCGCATGGCGCAGGAGGCGCGTGCCCAGGATGAAGGCTTGTCTTCGCATGGCGCAGGAGGCGCGTGTCCAGGATGAAGGTGCTGGCGGGGAAGGTTCTTGTGAGCTGGCTCCTTAGTTTCAGGTGTCACTTCTTTCGGGGTGCTCCTTGGTGGAGAGAACCCAAATTCTCTCTCTTCCTCCTCTCCTAACCATGGAGCTAAACTCCTTGGTTCTAAATATAATTTCTATGGGAGGTTCAATGGGTGAATGTGGGGAACAGAGACAAGAACATTCTATCTGGAATAGGGCCAGGGGACAGTACTGGACAAAAGACCTCAGGTCACTTGGAATGGACAGGGCCTAAGAGGATGAGTGGGGTTTGGTAGGCAACAAGTGAGGATCCCTCCAGGCTCAGGAATCCCAGTAGACCCAGCTTAGAGACTGCCAGACTCAGCAGAGGCTGGGCACAACACGCCCACAAAAAGGGGAGATTCCTGTGTCCTCACTGTGGAAGGGAGACTGACTTCCCTGTGGCCCTTGCCCAGTCCTGCTCAGCTTGCAGGTCACCTTCCCTCTGTTGGCCTGACCCTTGCTGAGGGCCTAGCCCACAGCTCCCAGCATCAGCAGCTGGCAGAGTGCAGCTCCGTGAGATGGCCAAGGGCTGCAGATGCTGGGTTCCAATGGTGCAGAGTATAGCAGGCTGCCCCCTCCCACCTGGGCCAGAAGCTGGGCACAGTGACAGCGATAGTCCGGAGCACGTGGGGTGGAACCGAGAGGAGGCTGACTCTGCGCTGCAGGGCAGCAGAGGCTGAGTGTGGAGGAGTGGGGAGAGGATGCCTGGGGCGGGGCTGCTCTGTAGTCTGTGGGCACTTCCCTGAGGAGCACTTGGAGGCCAGGATGCTGCTAGCCCAGGTGTGGGCTGCTGCCCTGCTCAGCATCCTGCCCACTTCTACAGGACCTGCCCATGCTGACTACGTGCTGCCAGAGGTGGTCTATTCAGTTATGAAAAGGAAGGAAGTTCTGGTGCACACCCTGGCTTGGTGGAATTGCCAACCACAAGTGGGATCCAGCTCCAAGCATCACCTACGAGAAGATCCATAACAGACAGACCTGCGGACAGGAACTAGACCAGGGGCTACTGGGAGAGCTTGGGAGGCCAAGGCTAAACGGCATGGGGTTTGATGCTAATGTTACATGGCTCTGCACATAGCCCAGAGTCACCGGACTGTTCACCCAAGTGGCCCTTTTGTGTGAATGTGCATTCTACCTCTGTATACCTGGCATAAATCAGATCTCTGGCCCTCTGTGGCACCAGCAACATCTCAAAGCCCAAAGAGCCTCTCGCAGCCAGCTAGCCAAGACTGCTGTGAGACATGCCCAGGTGGAGTGCTTGGTCTCTGCTGGGTAAGGGCCCCTTGTTTAGGCCTCCTGCTGTCTGCTCCCAGCCCTGCATCCACCTCTGTCATGGGGCTGCACCCTGCGAGCGTGGCCTCTGCCTCAGCAAGCAAGATGGGGCATGGTCTCACTAAGGACTGGTAACATTTGCTGGTTAGAGGAATGCGTGGGCCTCATCTCCGTAGCTTTCTCCACACTGCCAGCTGCATCAGCCCCACTCTCGTGCAGGCTGGCACCCAGTCCCCACCATACCCTCCAGCTGTTGCCAGCACCCACTGGCAACACTCTGGCAGCACTCACTCTGCAGATGGAAATCGGGAAGTGTAAGGAAGGCAGCTCCCTGCAGGGGTCCCCTGCATTAGTACTTCAGGGCTGCCGTGGCCACATGCCCCACATTGGGTGATTCCAAACAGCAATGGCAGATGCTCCCAGGGTTCAGGGCCAACATCAAGGTGCCCCTGGGCAGGGCCCCTCTTGGGAACTTGGGACTTGGCTCCTGTCTTGTGGTGGTGACTTGACATCCTCACCATGTTCAGATGCATGCCCACATCACTGCAACCTCTGTCGTCTCGTGTCCTCTCATGCATGACTCTCATACAGGCCCCAGTGATTGGATTTAGGGCACATCCTACCCTAGAATGACTCATCTTCTCTTATAACCGCAAAGACCCAATTTCCAAATAGCTTACATTCGCAAGCACTGGGGTGAGAACTTTGAACCTGCCTTTTTTTTTCCTGAAAGATTTATTTTATGTATTTGAAAGACAGAGTTACATAGAGGAGAAAGATAGATCTTTCATCCTTTGGTTTACTCCCCAGATGACAGGACTGGGCCAGCCTGAACCCAGGAGCCAGGAGCTTCTGCCAGGTCTCCCACGTGGGTGCAGCAACCCAAGCACCTGGGCCATCTTATGCTGCTTTCCCAGGAGCATTAGTAGGGCGCTGCGTGGAAAGTGGAGTGGCCAGGACTCAATAAATGAGATGCCAATGTCACAGACAGTGGTTTAACCTGATAGTACCACAACACTGGCTTCAAACTTGTGTTTCTGCGGGGGATGGAAAGGGTCTCACCACCGGCGAATGTGAGAGCTTGGCGAAGCCTCCATTCACAACTATTGTCTTCCATCAATCAGTAAGCACGCACGAAAACACAACATGCACGTCACACATTTTATAACCAGGGAACTCGAAGGGTACGAGAGACCCAGCCTTCTCTCCCCTGTGATTGTAGAGCACCTCTCCCCTCCCTACAGCCACGGTGGCCCATCCTGTGTAGACCCTGCTGCTTACCATGTCTTTGGTGTCCCATCGACAGGCACCTGCTGTGGACAGCAGCTGGCATCTCCTACTGCGCTTTGCCTCGGCTGCCGCTGGGGCCATGATTTGCTGAAAGCACTTGCTGCAGCCAGAGTCAGCCACCGGCTGAGTGGATTCGAACCTCACTGATTTTTCTCATGTCTGATACTCTCTGAAGTTTTCTGTCCTATACAATTTCACTGACAAAACATTTGCTATTATCCACTACAGATTTTACTAGCAACCACTGAGTGGTGATGGTAGATACAGTTCAGATGCCCTGGACCCACTGGGCTCTTGGGATGGCCAGTTCCACCCCTGACTGGGTGCCCATCCCCTGCCAAGGCAAGCAGCTTACACCTGACCTCCAGGCTCCCACCCAGCACCACCTGCCACAGTCTTGGGGTTTAGGCCTGCCACCAGGTCCAGAGGTCTCCAAGGGTGAGGCAGATGGTGTCCTTCCAGCACGAGAACCACTGGAGACAAGTTGGTGAGGGATGTCCGGGTTATTATGCACAGCTTACAGGTTTTAAAGGATAAGAAAGGAGAGGGCAGCAGGGCTTCTTCTGAATCCCCGCCCCAAGACACTGTAATTGGCCGTATGACACATCTATTTCCCTTGACTTTCTGCTCATGTTCCACATGTATTCCCCTCGGCCTTCTAGCCGTGTTGGAGGTCACACTCCACAGGTAAGCCTGGAAGCTGTGCTTCAGGCCATTGGGTGGTAAACTCTACACCCACCAAGTAATGGGGCAGGTACCTGGGGAGATGCTCCCTCACAACCTGAGCCTCATTGCTGCTTGGGTTCTGGATTTGCCTTTTCAGTATTTGCACTCCAGGTCTACTATCGCATTAGGATTCCTCATTTTCTTTATTCTTGCTTTTCTAGTAATTGTGACCTTGGTGATGGGGGAGAAGCCACCACTCACAGGTGTCCCTTGCTGGGCTGGGCTGGGACCCCCGTCTTTCAGCTCCCTGGGGTGACCTTGACAGGTTACCTGACTTCTTGTTTCCCAGACACTTGCTGAGGACAAGCCAGAGCACCCTGGGGAGCACTTGGTGTCCAGTGCACAAACCGCGCGGCTGATGCACCTGCTCTGACCCAACCTAAGCAGGAAGCAGAGAGCGCTTCCAGCAAGCCAGGGTCCAGGCGGGTGGGGCAGAAAAGCCAGCCTGGGACCGGAAGCCACAGCCAGATCTTGGTCACAAAGTGTGTGTGATGAGGGTGGCAGGGTGCTGGAGGAGAGTGGCCAGGCTGACGCTTCTTGTCTTTAGCTGTGTGGCTTCCCCTGCCCTTGGAGGTGGATGGACTTCAAATGCTCGCCTCACAGGGTCAGGAGCACGTGGGAGAAGTGCCCAATAGGGCAGCTTAAGGGAGCGTGAGGGCGAGATCGGGCACCATATCCTACCCCCCAGCAACAGGCGGCCGAGTCCTTTCGTCCCCATCCTCCTCCAAGCAGTCGTAAGAGGGCAAGTCGGCGGTCCCGGCAAGTCCAGGACCCCGACTCCGGGGTCCACGTGTCCTGCTGCAGCCAGGGAGAGGGCAGCGGCAGACTGTGTGCAAGGGGCCCGGAGGCAACCAGGGCGCGTGCCGCGCAGACTCTCACCAGAAGAGGGTACAGTTTGCTACGCTCCTGACGTCAGGCTGGAATCCCTATTGTGTTTAGACACCGCTCAGCAAGGCGAGCTCAATCAAGTTCTCTCCGCACGCCTCGGCAGACGGCGCTGGTCCGGCGGCTCCCAGACCTGCCTGCCTGCGCGCCCCAGAGCTGAAGCCGGCTCCCACAGCCCACGAGCGGACCCGGTTGCCGCACGCAGCCAAGCAGCAGCGGAGGATCACACCGCCTGGGAGTCTGGGGTGAGTGCCTCTGGGCGAGAGCACCCCATCCCCGCGTTCACCCCGGGACGCGCCCTAGGCCCGCCCGCCCACCCGCAGCCCCTCGGCAGCCGAGCGCATGCCTCCCCCGCAGCGCGCACCCGCCGGCGACTGCCCGCTCTGACCACCCTTCCCGCAGTGGGCTTCTCCGAGCGCAGTCGCGCACCGCTGCAACCGCCCGACCCCCAACCCCCGGCGGCAGCAGCGTCAAGGGGCGCGGAGCCCCGGCTGTGAGGGCTCGCGCCACAGGAGGATGGATGGGTCCGGAGAGCGCAGCCTCCCGGAGCCTGGCAGCCAGGACTCGGCAGCGGCGGGCAGTGACATGGAGATCGTGGTCAACGTGGGGGGCGTGCGACAGGTGCTGTACGGAGATCTGCTCAGCCAATATCCCGAGACGCGGCTGGCCGAGCTGGTGAACTGCTTGGCTGGCGGCTACGACACCATCTTCTCGCTGTGCGACGACTACGACCCCGGCAAGCGCGAGTTCTACTTTGACCGGGACCCGGACGCGTTCAAGTGCGTCATCGAGGTCTACTACTTCGGGGAGGTGCACATGAAGAAGGGCATCTGCCCGATCTGCTTCAAGAGCGAGATGGACTTCTGGAAGGTAGACCTGCGCTTCCTGGACGACTGTTGCAAGAGCCACCTGAGCGAGCGGCGTGAGGAGCTGGAGGAGATCGCGCGCCGCGTGCGCCTCATCTTGGACGACCTGGGCGTGGACGCGGCCGAGGGTCGCTGGCGCGGCTGCCAGAAGCGTGTGTGGAAATTCCTGGAGAAGCCCGAGTCGTCGCGGCCAGCGCGGGTGGTGGCCGTGCTATCCTTCTTGCTCATTCTCGTGTCGTCAGTGGTTATGTGTGTGGGCACCATCCCTGAACTGCAGGTGCTAGACGCCGATGGCAACCGCGTGGAGCACCCCACGCTGGAGAACGTGGAGACAGCATGCATCGGCTGGTTCACACTCGAGTACCTGCTGCGCCTCTTCTCGTCACCCAACAAGCTGCATTTTGTGCTGTCCTTCATGAACATCGTGGACGTGCTGGCCATCCTGCCCTTCTATGTGAGCCTCACTCTCACGCACCTCGGCGCGCGCATGATGGAGCTCACCAACGTGCAGCAGGCGGTGCAGGCGCTGCGTATCATGCGCATCGCCCGCATCTTCAAGCTGGCGCGCCACTCCTCAGGCCTGCAGACCCTCACCTATGCGCTCAAGCGCAGCTTCAAGGAGCTGGGGCTGCTGCTCATGTACCTGGCCGTGGGCATCTTCGTCTTCTCGGCGCTGGGCTACACCATGGAGCAGAGCCACCCGGAGACGCTGTTCAAGAGCATCCCCCAGTCCTTCTGGTGGGCCATCATCACCATGACCACTGTGGGCTACGGGGACATCTACCCCAAGACCACGTTAGGCAAGCTCAATGCTGCCATCAGCTTCCTGTGCGGCGTCATCGCCATCGCGCTGCCCATTCACCCCATCATCAACAATTTTGTCCGCTACTACAACAAGCAGCGTGTCCTGGAGACGGCGGCCAAGCACGAGCTGGAGCTCATGGAGCTCAACTCCAGCAGCGCAGCTGGGGCGTCTGAAGGCAAGGCAGGCGGCTCCCGCAGCGACCTGGACATCCCAGCCCTGCCGGAACCTGCCGGGAAGGAGGGGCCAAGCTGGGGCAGCCGCCTGAAACTCTCACACAGCGATACCTTCATCCCCCTTCTGACGGAGGAGAAGCACCACAGGACCCGGTTGCAGAGCTGCAAGTGATGGAGGGATTCCCAGCAGATGGGGGGCGGGGCTGTGGACATGAGGGCCCTTGACAAGTGTGAGTGGGGCTGCCCCGGGTCTCCCTGATCCCGGCCTCTCCCCGTCCCAGCACCCCCTGGAACATTCTCCGCAGGTCCCCCTGGCCCCTCTGACCAGGCTGGGTAATATTCTGCCTCCATGTGTCCAGGGGCTGGGAAGGCAACCTGGGTGGGCCAAGGGGCCTGGCTGGCAAGAGTCGCCAGCTTGGCTCTGTATCTCCTTCAATAAAATCTCCTACCCTGTGTGTCCTGGGTGCTGTCTTGGCTGGCTGGTGCCCTCTAGCGGGTACCAGAGTGAGGTGTGTACCCTGGGGCAGCTGTCTTGGTGGGAAGCTGACGGAAGCCTAGTGCCAGGCGGAGTGCAGCCTGGAGGCAGCACTGTGCCATGTCCCGGGAGGCTCTGGCAGATGACTCCCTCCTTCTGTGTCCTGGCGGGGGGGGGGGGGGAGCCTGCTACCCCAGCACTCCCAGGATCGAGTTAATTCCTGAGCCACGGGGGGGGGGGGGGGGGGGGGAGCAGCGCGACCTCTGCTCAGCGCTCAGCCTCCCCAGGACCCATTTCACTTTTTTCTCTGAAAACTGGTGACAGACACTAGATAGCTGTGCTGCTTTTCCAGGTGACAAAGCTGAGGCCAGGGTTGCACACAGCAGGGATTTGCTCCTAGGCCTGACAGGAGCTTCTGCTTGGGTGGGGTCTGCAGCACAGGGGAAGGGGGTGTTTGTGCTCCAGGGCTGACTGCCTTGAGGTCCGAGGCCTGGACAGGAGGGTGGGGGTGGTCTGTGCAAGGCAGACCTGAACATGCCTCCCACCCAGGGGCTCACTACCAAGGCAACAATTAACAGAGCAGGAGACCCAGGCACACCTTGCTGGTCATTCTGGCCAACCTCTCTGAGCCTTGTTCAGCTTTGTGGAACCTAGGGCTCCCAGCACGGAGCACTTGGCACTGACTCCTTGCTCAGCAGGCTCTGGCTGTCCCCAGAGCTCTCGGCCGGCAGATGGGGTGGAGTCCACCACAGCTCACTGTCTTCTGCTCTGCCCCCGCTACTGGAAGGTGTGCATGCAGTGCCCAGGCTGCAGGGTGCCCAGGCAGGGTGGATGGGGCTGGTGACCAGGTGTGGGGTGTAGCAAGCGTGTTGCTGGCCACCCTCCAGGGCCCCCGGGGGCTGAGCAGGGGCCTTGGTACAGCCTTGGCTGATGCTGTGTGCCCCTCCTCCACATGTTTCTCCCAGGAAACGCTGGTCCCAAAGCCAAGGAAGGGGTGGGGCCGGAGAGGTTGGGCCTAAGTCCAGAGAGGGGACCCAGGGAACGGCCAAGAGGGGAGAGGTCTCTGTGTCCCTGGGTGGTGTGACAGTAGGCATTCCTTCATCTGCTGTTCTTGCCCGTGGGGTCCTGTGTTGGCCAGCAGAAGGCTGTGAGCTGTGGGAAGGAGAGGGAGACTCAGGGACTGGGAAGAGACTAGGGTAGCCCTGGGTCCCAAGGTGGCCTGCTGGTCTCCCCTAGGGCTGTGGGGAGGAGTGGTTGGCAGAGAGTGCATCATCTTGGTGCTGGTCACATCTGCCCATCTTAAGGAGGGGAAGACTGAGGCTCAGAGAGGGGTGATGTCATTAAGCCTAGACAGGACCCAGGTCACACAGGAGCTCAGTGTGTGACGAACAGTCTTCCTAGAGTGACAGGCTCTGCCATGGATGGCAGACAGGGGTTTTCAGAGCCACAGGGAGTAAGATATACGCACTTGAAATTTCGCTGTTTATCACTGCCATCGAGGGAGATTTCAAACCTGCCTGACTCCAGCCAGAACCCGTGGCTGTTCGATCACCATTTCTGGGACAGCACCCAGGCATCGGTGGTATTTTCTCTCTTTTTAGTTTAAGTGCCATGAGTTATGTGGAGAGCCGGTTAATATGTGGATTTGGAGCTGGTAGGTCTGGCACTGTGCATTTCCGACATGCTCTGGATGGGCCCCGTGCTCTGCTCCCTGCCCCCACCCCATTCCCACAGGGAGCGGCTGTGAGCAGCGTCGGGTCCTGGGGGTGTCGGTGTGTGCATGCCATGGATTCAGGTGGTTTTCTGTTTGGAGGTGATCAGAAGCTTTTGAAGGAAGAATAGCCCTTTGTTACACCTGTAAAGGTCAGTGTAGGTGGGGACAGTCCTGCTGGAACAGACCAGTGAGGTCCTTGGGGGTTGGTGGTCGCTGTGCCAGGCAGTGCTGCAGGGCTGAGACCGAGGACCTGTGGGAAAGGGTACCTCAGGCTGGCCAGACAGGTGAGCCTGGGGCTGTGCCTGAGGGGAAACAGCGGGAACACAGCCTCCAGAGAGGCATCAGTGCCGGGGTGCATGGCCTCTAAATGCTGTACCCGAGAAGCCTCACCCCTGCTTCCCATGGCAGGTCCTGTGTGTCCCTGTCTCAGCTAGCTTCATGTCCTCCTTCTGGCCATCTGTGTGAGCCCCCACTTGGGGACCCTCGTGTGTGCAGCTTGAACACATTTCACAGGCTTCGTGTAACTTGTTCATGTCCATCGAGAGAGAGAAGGCAAATCTGGGCCATGCAGAGTGCCCAGGCTAAAGGAACTGCACCGCACACACTGATGGGACAACTGCAGCCCTGGTCCCGGACCCTTGGTCCACACTTGCCACAGTGTTAGGAACACACACAGTGAATGCTGTTTCAAAAACTGGCAGGGTGAGTCCAAGGCTGTGTGTGTATTTGCATGTGTGTGTGTTTGTATGTGTTTGCATGGGTGGTTGTGTGTGTTTGCAGGCTGTGTGTTTACATATACATATTAATATGTTGTGTTTGCCCATGTGTGTGTGTCTGGACACTCCTGACTTCTGAATGCAGGGACTTGGGCTGACATTTTCAATTTAGCCTCAAAGCCACAACGTGCGGTGAACTACTTACCCCAGACTCACAGGCTGGGGAGCTGGGGCTCACAGCGGGTGACTATGCACTTGCTGGCTGTGTGGAACTCAATGTCTGTCTTCACAGCCATGGGAGGGGTCTGGAGACAGCACATAAATCAAGGGAAATTGTAGAAGACACAAGAAAACACCAAGCTCTGGACTGAACACACACATTCACCCATGTACTCAGCCCAGGAGGCATAGGGTTGGCCCCAATTACACTCATGGGGTAGGGATGGCTCTGCAAGAGGTCAGACCCAGTGTGGAGTACCTGTGAGGCTTGCACCTGCCTCCCTTGACCTACTGGGAAGGGGCCACCAGCTCTTCCCATCTCTTCCACCCTGGGATGCTACAGAGGCCCCAGCAGCAGAGTCTGTCCATGAGATCCAGAGAGGCCGCCCACCTGCTCTGGGGTTGACAGCTCCACACTAGTGTCTGACAATACCTTCTCCCTGTGGACTTGAACCTGTCTCACAGTCACAGCCTCAGGCAGGAGCAGCTGCCACAGGCTGTCTCAGCTTCGAGAGGCACCAGGTGAGGGCCTGCTCTCTGTTCCTTGTCCTACCTCTGGTTCATAGATGGTCGTTGTCAGCTGGCCCAGCTCACTACTTCCCACTCTCCACAACCCGCAGCCAGGATGGCGTGATTGTCCCTTGGGGTCGTTGGAGCCTGTGGTCCCAAGTCTGCAATGAACCAGCATGCACTACAGCTTGGTCTGGGCTGGGGATGCTGCAGCCCTGTGCACCCCCTCTGCTGGCTGGAGCAGTGAGTCCCTAGTCCTACAGGGCCCCTGGCTCACATCTCAGCAACACACATGCCTGTAGGCAAAGGACAGGCCCTGACGGCACCTGCCAACAGCTGCACATCTGCCCTGGTGCCTGACTGTCCAGGGTATAGCTGAGACATGGGGGGCAGGGCATGTCTTGGGGGCAGCCCAGACCTAGGAGGTAGTAACCGCTACTGGTGCAGGCCAGGCTAGAGGGGTGCTGCTGGGGCAGATGCTGGCTGTGCTGTCAGACTCCAGGCCTGGGGCTGCACCTCCTGACTGTGCCTGACAGGGCCTTGGGACCCAGGCTCCAGGGGAAGCACAGGCAGCCTAGTGCGGGGTGACTGGAGCTTCGGGAGTAGCAGTGGCTGTCCACGCCCGGCTCCCAGTTGGTGTGGGAGGTGCCAGCTGGATCAGTCTTCCTTTGCGTCCAGGCAGAGTGCGGTGGGCAAGTTTGCAAGCACAGCTCCCTGGAGCTGGTCCTGAGGTTCCCCCTGAGCTTTGGTTCCTCCCTCCACCTGCCCCACCCCCTGGCAGGGGTACTATTGCTGGCACAGGCTGATGGGATGCTGTAGGGGCAGCACAGTGTGACGGGGGTCCTGGCATGGAGGAAATAGACCCTGACCAGGGCAGGACTGAAGTCATGGGCCTTTGTCCCTGGCTCTGCACCCCCACACGCAAGTGCATGTCAGTCTTGCCTTCTGTACAGGGACCCAGGTGGGTTCTGGAATAGCTCCCCTCCCCCAGTGCAGGGCCTGTGGATAGATCCTCCTGCAGCCTACATCAGGGTCTCCAATGGCCAGATGGGCCTGGGATGTGGGTGACGGGCACCCTCTGCCCCGCAAATCCCTCATAGCTCACTGGTTGGTGTGAACCAAGCTCTCCCCGTAGCCAGCGCTGTCCCATCCATTGGGCACATTTGCCAGATAACTCAGACCATAGCCTAACTTGTCCTGGCTGCTGCCAGTGCATGGCAGAGTGGCCGGCCCGGGTCCCTGATTGCCTGCATGACCTGTGCCTGGATCAGTGTGGGGCAGTTATGTGAGCTGTGGCAGGAACTGGGAAGAGGCTCCTGGACCCGAACAGTGCCTGGCACATGGTGAGTGCCAGGTGCTTGTGGGAATAGCCTGCGTCTCTCTACCCTGCCCAGGGGCGCTGAGGCAAGGGCCCTCAGGGGTGCCCCTGCCTGGTGACCTCTTAGCCTCTTCTCACAGTTGCCAGTGGTGTCATCTGACCCTCTTCCCACCCCCAACTTGGCTCCTGGCTGCAACTGTCTCCAGTTGAATGTGAGTCCCTGGGGGGCAAATTCACATGTCTTGTGATG